ACACACACACACACACACACACACACACACACACACACACACACACACACACACACACACACACACTTGTTTTCATATCTTGGTGTGGACATCTAATTGACATAATGCTTTCTCTAGCCACTTACCCTAACCCTTAGCATAAACCTGATCATAAACTAACTGTAACCCAGAAACTAAAACCACATTTTGAGCCTCAAAAATGCCTTCAAATTCGTGCGGACGGGCATTTTGTCCCCACAAGTATTGTGGCATGCCAATTTTCACAAAGACTTCTAAACCAGTACACACACATACACACCCTCTAACTAACACAAACACACTCACACCTCATTGTTTCCAGACGACCAGCTTGTAGATATGTCTCAGTTTTACAGTATGAGTGGAAACATACGAAACACATCAGTGGTAACAATGTTTCAGTATCATCACAGCTTCATCTTTCAGGTGTGCGACACTCATTAAGCATCATTTAAAATGCCGGCTGACTGCTCGATAAGACACTCACTGAAAAAAAAGCTGTTGCACAGTTAACGTCTACGGGTTCACCGCTGTTTTGCACAGACGACAGGGAAACACAAGCGATATTTTTCCCAGCATGCCCTTCCAACATAACCATTTTCCTTTTGAACCATTACCAGTTTATGCAGTATACATTTTCCTTATAATCAAAAGTTTAAAAAAAAAAGAGCCGTGACTAAAACACACAGGGGGACTCTTTTAATGTGTCCATCCTACTGTAATGCTGTGAATATAAGCATCCTGTGGAATATTATCAGGCCGCCATGATTAAAGCATTTTTGTGCCTTTAATCATGGCACAAAGCTGGGCAGTAAATGGTGACTGTACAGCTTTGATTCTACTGTTTGACTGTCAGTGGTCATTTCTAGAGCTAAATATTTCAGTCCCATCTTCATCCATGAGTGGGAAAACTGGCTGTAAAAGGTGCATGATGACTTATAAAATCTTTGGTGTCCTTCACTCCTGTTGAGTAAATCCTCTCCTTTCTTTTCCCACCAGCTCAACCACCTGCGCTGTTTGCAGGACTTCGCTGAAGCTCAGGCCACATACTACGCTCAGTGTCATCACTACATGCAGGACCTTCAGCGGGAGCTCAACAGGTCGGCATTTATTTGCAGAGACTGCTAGGACTCCCACTGACCGTAATATTTCTTGAATCAGAAACATTTTCACCTTTTCTTGAATTGTTTAAGTTATGGGGAAAGATCAGAGTTAGTCACATCATAAAATACTGAAAATGACCACATAGTCTGGGTCTGGTTATGTGCAGCTGGGAGTTGGTGCAGTCTCTCAAGGACCCATGATGGCTTTGTTTCCAATAATTAACTTGGATCCAATGTCTGACTTATCAGTAAGGCCTTCAACTAAGCAATCACAATGATCAATAGTTCATGACTATGATTTTCTCTGTGTTATTGGAGGGTTTTGACCTTACAATATAAATCATCTCTAAAGGGGAGGATATAGTCACAGAGGTTTTCACACCATCTACAAGCAGAAAACAGGTACACAGTCACTCTGCCTTAAACACTGAGATTTCTCCTGGGTACCTGAATAATGTTAGCAATAAAAAAACATCCAGAGAAACATCCAGACTCAAAGAGATACCCAAAACTAGTCCAGTCCTTACTGACCTCAGGGTCATCCAAAATGCTGCTACTTACAGGAACTAAAGATATTAGAGTAGAAAGGGATGGTCCCCAAACTCTTCCCACAAAGCTGGGAGCATGAACTTCTCCAAGATATCTTGGTATGCTGAAGCATCACGAATTCCTTTCACTGAAACTAACCAACTCCTGAAAAACAACCCTCCACCATAATCCAACAAACTTTACACTTGGCACAGTAAAGTCAGACAAGTACTGTTCTCCTCTCAAACGCCAAACCCTGACTTGCCCATCGGATTGCCAGATGGAGATGTGTGATTCATCACTCCCAGTGTTAGGAAGGTTACTTTTAAAATGTATTCCATTACAGAATACAGAATACATGCCCCAAAATGTATTCTGTAACGTATTCCGTTACGTTACTCAATGACAGTAACGTATTCTGAATACTTTGGATTACTTAATATATTATCATGCTTTTTACAACAACGTGAATGTACTATTGCTGTGTGATTTATTACTATTATTGAAGGTCCGCGACTCCGAATTGTAGTAAAGGGACCTCTGACTAATACGGCGGGGTCCCTGTCGGCTCGTAGCCGAAAAATAGCTTTACTTTGTTGTGTGGGTCAACTTTTCTTGCGAGAGACAGAGAGAGGCGTTGAAAGGCTGCTCCAACGGAACTTATTGTTTTCGGAGGAAAACACGAACACGGTGTACAGTCGAGTCTTAATAGCTTACTTACAACTGGGCTCGTCAGGCACTCTTCTTGGCTGCAGTGGTTATTATTATATTTACATGCTTCCAGCTCCCGTTTTTCCTCGATGACAACTCGCACCTTTCCACTCCCCTTTTTCTACCTCCTCGCGCTCACAGACCCATAATGTGTATGGCAGTCCATTCTCCCTGCAACACGGACTACACTGCCCATGAGGCTACATTCTTTAGAGCTATGCTTGTAGCATTCTGCCTGTTAGCTTAGCACAACAACAACAACAACAACGAAAAGGCGCTCTCTCACCCAGGAAGCACACAGTCGCAGAGAGAGAGAGAGCGTCGCCCTGTAACCATGGCAACCGTAACGCTGCCGCCTGGAACAAAGAGCGTAGCTGTCAAACAAAACCCAAACAGTCCTGACCCGCGACAAAATGAAACAGGAAAGTACCGCAGTGTAATCCATTTATTTCAACAAAGAAACTGTATTCTGAATACCACCTTTTTAAACGGTAACTGTAACGGAATACAGTTACTCATATTTTGTATTCTAAATACGTAACGGTACGTAACATGTATTCTGTTACTCCCCAACACTGATCACTCCAGAGAACACATCTGCACACAGAACAGTGAACACTTTGGTAATGGAAGGGTTGGATACAGCCGGTCACCATGGAAACCAATTCAATAAAGTTCTCTATGCACTGCCCTGGAGCTAATTAGTGTTGGGATTTCTAGCTCTTTTTAGAGAACCGTCTGTTTCGGCTCCGAACTGACTCTTCAGGTTGTTTTGTTGCTTTAATTAATTTATTATTAACAATAATATTTAATTATTTACAAAAGGAATTACTAATGTAAAAAAAGGAAGTGGTTTTATTTATATATGTTTATATATAAATATATGCGGTGGCCAATAGCGATTTTCCTTACTGAGGAATTGGCAACACTGGCTCTAAGAGCCATTTCGTTCGCGACCGACACATCACTAGAGCTAATCTGAGGGGCACATGAAGCTTGGACGTGCACTCTATGTGCCTCAGCACCCATTGACCCCACTTTGAGTTTACATGGCCTACCACTTCATGGCAGAGTTGCTGTTATTTCCACTTTGTTATAATACCACTAACAGCTGACTGTGGAATATTTAGTATTCAGGAAATTTCAAAGCTGGACTTGTTGCACTGGTGAGCTCCTATCATAGTACCACGCTGGAATTCACTGAGCTTCTGTGAGCGACCCATTCATTGACAAATGTTTGTAGAAGCAGTCTACATGCCTTGATGCTTGATTCTATACACCTGTGGACATGGAAGTGATTGAAACACCTGAACGCAATCATTTGGATGACTGAGTAAAAACCTTTGGCAATACAGTGTAGCTTAAAGACCTCAAAATAGCTACTATTTAAACTAAGCACTTTACTCTTCACCTACTTGTAGTAACTTGAGCTAACCTGCATCATCCTTTAGTAATGTCACTCTTTGCCTGTTCAGTCTAATGTCAAAAAGAGTCAAAAGTGGTCCAAATTATTTCCACTGCAGTGAAATGATTTTGCCTGATGTCTCGGGTGTTGGAATAAAATCCTGGCATCCATGGCTACGTCCACAGGTACACGGGTATTTTTGAAAACTGAGATTTTCCGTTTTCGTTTTAAAAAATAATCCCGTCCACACGTAAAGGCAGAAATGAAGAAAAACGCTGCTATGAACGTGCCAAAGCAACAGGTGGCGATATATTCCTAACCTGTAGAAATGTTGGCCAATCAGAAGTCTAGAAGCCTCGGTGGGAAAAAGTAAACAAAGCTGGGGCACAGAAGCAGAACAGAGTCGTATGTGTGGAGGGACAGTAACTGTGTATATGTAAGCATTTAAACACTGCAGAGAGTAGAAGTAACAGTATTGTAGAAATTCATTTCACCGAAACAATAACGTGGCGCACAGTGTGACGTCAAAAAAGGCGCACACCTTTGACGCTGCGTTTTCTCCGTTTTTCTAGTCCACACGTAAATGCAAAAACGGAGTTTTAGAAAATATCCACCCTGGCCGGAGTTTTTAAAAATCTCAGTTTTCAATGACCAAAAACGCCGTTTACGTGTGGACGAAAGGTGCAAACGCATAGAAAAATCTGCGTTTTCAAAAATACCCGGGTACGTGTGGATGTAGCCCATGACAGGGAGGCTGATTTATGAAGCTGGACCCGTCATTGGCCAGAATCTGGAGGCGTTTGTGTCAGTGAAGGTCAGAGGTCACTGAACACACTGCTCTCCGTTTGTTCCCACTGATGTGAAAATGTAAATAAAAGAGCCATGCAGTGTTTTGGAAATCATTAAATGCCAGTATCTGATTAAAAATAAGAGATCATCAAATGACATTAAAATGGAGTGTTTACGTTTGTAAAACGTTTTGAAATATGCCATACTGAGCCAAAAAAACAGAAAGACGTTCCCTCAAGACCAAGTTGGAAAGATTTGATTCATAGTAATCTTGAGATCTGGTTCAAATCTGAAAACTAATACTTGTTGGTTTCAGTATTCAGACAGCATGTGGACTCAATCATATCAGGAACCAGGATGGTGTCAAAACATGTACACGAGGTCCAGACACTGAGCTGCCGTCTTTTTGGTAACCTCCGGTAACATAGTTTAAACTGGAAAAAACTTTTTTTGATGTTGTCTTGTTATGCTTGTTTACATCATCATCAGTGATGCTCGCATTAATGCTGACCCTGGTCTATGAGTTTTAGAGCTCATGCCAAACCATGTAAACAAAACTGCTGCTTTCACTGGACCCCACGTTCATTTAAGCCATAGGTGTCAAACTCTGGCCTGATTCTTTAATAAAAATAGGCTTTAAATTATTTTTTGTAAATAATAATTTTTATTTCTTCCTTTTTGGAAGTCATAAAATGTTTGTTTACAGTAAGTAAACCATACCTACCATGTATGTGTCTTCACACAGATGTGCTAATGCTGTCAGTGCACCCCACTCCTCTGCCTCCGTCTGCCCCAACCCTGTGTCCCCCGCCTTTCTGTCTGGACCGGCATCCTCCGGAGCCGCTGTCCCTGCCGCCTCCTCCTCATCCAGCCAGAAGCCGGTCACGCTCGCCATGGAGCAGTCACAGCTGCCCGTCACGGGTGCCAGGAAGGCCAGGGTCCTGTATGATTATGATGCCCACGACACCAGTGAGCTGTCATTGTTGGCTGATGAGGTACAGCAGAGTCAAGCTGAGTCACCACATACACACACACACACACACACACTTCACTTCACTTCACTTCACTTGTAAGTGAAGTGTGGCTCTTCAAATGCCTTATTGCTATAGGTCGCCTTGTTTTGGAATCTTTTTGCAGCTTTCAATGTTTCCACACAAAATACAGATATAAGCTGTCCAAAACAATGCAAACTGTTAGTGTTTGTTTCAATGGCATGTGAGACAAACCAGCACCTGCCTTCGTCTCAGACACTCCTGAGCCTAAGGCTACGAGTATGAATAGAAAGAGCGCATGGGCATGTGTAGCATTTTTTTGTGATCCCTTTGAAAACTCATTGGCCTAAAATCCCAACGTCAGGTCGAGACATGATTCTCAACTTTTAAAAAGATATCTACTGACAGGCTGTGAATCCCCCGATTGCAATAGTGCAGTCATTATTATCACGCAGGGTTTGCACTAAAGAGACGGAACTTGAAAGAGTGTTTAATGTCAGATCAGACATTTGTAGTTTAACTTCTAAAGTTCAAGCCACACAAACCACAACCCTATATTTCTGAAAAAGTCCTAAAGAAAAAATGTTGATGTTTCAAAGATTTGAGAGAACAACTTTCCAAAACCTAAAAACCCCTTGGACACGCCGTGACCTTGAACATATTTTTGGTTATTTTTCCAGCAGATGTCGTGGACTGAGCCATGTAGCACCATTTCTGTCTGTCTTTTCTGATTTGGGGTTGAGCATTTTTTTTTTTCTCAAATCTCTTTATTTGGTTTTCCAGTGTTCTTTATCATAAAAGGCAACTAAGATTCAAATATAAATGATTACATATATACAATAGAAATTAAACACAGTAAAAAAAAAAAAAGGCAACAACAAACAACGTTGGACAGAGGATGCTATTTATCGAACTAACAATGAGGCTCAGTGACCATTTATATCTGTACAGTATTGAAGAAATCTATAAAAGATTGCCAGGTTGAATGGAATTCCTCCAACCTCCCCTTTAGTAGGAGTTTAGTTCTTTCCAGCTGCAAGTGTCTCAATACATCTTGTATTAACGCTGATATGGTAGGAGGCACCTTTTGTTTCCAATTTAGTAGAATCAAACGGCGTGCCAGCAGCGTCACAAAACGTATCACATTATTTTGGGTGGCTGATAGGTCTACAACAACCGGCTTCACTCCAAATAAAGCACAGATTGGGTCTGGCTTAAGTGTTTTTTTTAGAATTTTAGACAAGATATGAAAGACATTATTCCAATATGTTGTTATACAGGGACAATTCCAAAACATATGCGCCAGTGAAGCAGGTTGCTGTTTACATCTTTCGCAGGACGAGTTTACATTGGGGAACATTTTTGACAGTTTCAACTTTGATAAATGGAGTCTATGTAGCACTTTAAACTGTAAGAGTCCATGATGAATGCAAACAGAGGAAGAGTGTACATTTTTCTGGGCTTTTGTCCATTGATTATCTGTAATTCTCGTACCAAGGTCACACTGCCAGGCCTCTCTCAGATAGTCAAGTGTGACAGTTCCATCCAGTTGTGACAATGCGTTGTGAATTTTTGTTATTAGTCCTTTCTTGAGTGGATCAAACTGAAATAAGTTATCTAAGTCAGAGTCTGGGGGCCGATCTGGAAAAGATGGAAAAAGCTTCCTTACAAAGCTTCTGATCTGTAAGTATTTGAAAAAGTCATTACTGTGCAAGTCAAATTTTTCTTGCAGTTGCCGGAATGTGGGAAAAACCTTGTTGATGAATAAATCCTTTATTGAGTGCAGCCCCTTGTGGTTCCATTGGAGAAATGAAATGTTTGAAAGTGATGGTGTGAATGATGCGTTATTCATGAGTGGAGTTAGTATGGAAGCTTCCCTCCACCCGAAATGTTTCCTTATCTGTGTCCAGATTTTAATTGTATGAGAGACTACAGGATTTTTAAAGTCATGTTTAGGGATAGGGAGAGCTGAATAGATCATAGCTTCTAATGAGGAGGGGTAGCAGCTTTCATTCTCCATCGTTGTCCAGTCGGCCCCCTTAGTCCGCAACCAAAACGACATGGAACGAACATTACATGACCAATAATACAGACGGAAACATGGTAACCCCATCCCTCCCTGACATGTCAGTCTCTGCAGGTAGCTTTTCTTGATTCTTGGATTCTTTCTGTTCCATATGAAATAGGATATTAAGGAGTCTAATTTATTAAAAAAGGCTTTATTAATCACAATAGGGATACACTGAAATAAAAATAAGAATTTGGGAAGAATATTCATTCTAACAATGTTTATCCTCCCTGCTAGTGAAATTGGTAGATTAATCCATTTGTCTATGTTATTTTTGGTTTCATCATATAGTTTAGAGAGATTGTGTTTAAATAAACCATAATAATCCTGAGTGATATTTATTCCAAGATATTGGAACTGATTAGAAACCCGAAATGGCAAGGTATTGAAACAACTTGGGTTACCTATTGCTTTAGAGTTGACTGGGAATAGCACACTTTTAGATAAATTCAATTTGTATCCTGACACTTCTCCAAAATTCTGCAAAATTTCCATGATGACTGGGACTGATTTTGCAGGGTTAGAAATATACAGTAGTAAATCATCTGCATAAAGCGAGACTTTATGTTCTGCTTTTCCCCTTCTGATCCCTGTATATTCGTCTTGGATAGTAGTTTAACCAGAGAAATAAATTTAGGGCCAAATCCGAACCTCGACAGGGTCGAGAAGAGATAATCCCACTCGACCCTGTCGAAGGCCTTCTCCGCGTCCAAAGAAAGCAAAATTTCAGGATTAGATTAGATTAGATTAGATAGAACTTTATTAATTAGGATTAGGATTATGCTTGTCTTGCGTATAGATAATGTTTAAAAGTCTTCTAATATTAAAAAACAGCTGCCTGTCTTTAATGAATCCTGTTTGGTCCTGAGATATACAGTGGGGCAAAAAAGTATTTAGTCAGCCACCGATTGTGCAAGTTCCCCCACTTAAAATGATGACAGAGGTCAGTAATTTGCACCAGAGGTACACTTCAACTGTGAGAGACAGAATGTGAAAAAAAAATCCATGAATCCACATGGTAGGATTTGTAAAGAATTTATTCGTAAATTAGGGTGGAAAATAAGTATTTGGTCACCTCAAACAAGGAAAATCTCTGGCTCTCACAGACCTGTAACGTCTTCTGTAAGAAGCTTTTCTGTCCCCCACTCGTTACCTGTATGAATGGCACCTGTTTGAACTCATCATCTGTATAAAAGACACCTGTCCACAGCCTCAAACAGTCAGACTCCAAACTCCGCCATGGCCAAGACCAAAGAGCTTTCGAAGGACACCAGGAAAAGTATTGTAGACCTGCACCAGACTGGGAAGAGTGAATCTACAATAGGCAAGCAGCTTGGTGTGAAAAAATCAACTGTGGGAGCAATCATCAGAAAATGGAAGACATACAAGACCACTGATAATCTCCCTCGATCTGGGGCTCCACGCAAGATCTCATCCCGTGGGGTCAAAATGATCATGAGAACGGTGAGCAAAGATCCCAGAACCACACGGGGGGACCTGGTGAATGACCTGCAGAGAGCTGGGACCAAAGTAACAAAGGTCACCATCAGTAACACACTACAACGGCAGGGAATCAAATCCCGCAGTGCCAGACGTGTTCCGCTGCTGAAGCCAGTGCATGTCCAGGCCCGTCTGAAGTTTGCCAGAGAGCACATGGATGATACAGCAGAGGATTGGGAGAATGTCATGTGGTCAGATGAAACCAAAGTAGAACTTTTTGGTATAAACTCAACTCGTCGTGTTTGGAGGAAGAAGAATACTGAGTTGCATCCCAAGAACACCATACCTACTGTGAAGCATGGGGGTGGAAACATCATGCTATGGGGCTGTTTTTCTGCCAAGGGGACAGGACGACTGATCCGTGTTAAGGACAGAATGAATGGGGCCATGTATCGTGAGATTTTGAGCCAAAACCTCCTTCCATCAGTGAGAACTTTGAAGATGAAACGAGGCTGGGTCTTCCAACATGACAATGATCCAAAACACACCGCCCGGGCAACAAAGGAGTGGCTCCGTAAGAAGCATTTGAAAGTCCTGGAGTGGCCTAGCCAGTCTCCAGACCTCAACCCCATAGAAAATCTGTGGCGGGAGTTGAAAGTCCGTGTTGCTCGGCGACAGCCCCAAAACATCACTGCTCTCGAGAAGATCTGCATGGAGGAATGGGCCAAAATACCAGCTACTGTGTGTGCAAACCTGGTAAAGACCTATAGTAAACGTTTGACCTCTGTTATTGCCAACAAAGGTTATGTTACAAAGTATTGAGTTGTATTTTTGTTATTGACCAAATACTTATTTTCCACCCTGATTTACGAATAAATTCTTTACAAATCCTACCATGTGGATTCATGGATTTTTTTTTCACATTCTGTCTCTCACAGTTGAAGTGTACCTCTGGTGCAAATTACTGACCTCTGTCATCATTTTAAGTGGGGGAACTTGCACAATCGGTGGCTGACTAAATACTTTTTTGCCCCACTGTAATTGTTGGCAGAACAGTTTCCAGGCGTGTTGCCAAAATCTTTGCAAGTATCTTATTATCTACATTAATTAAGCTGATCGGTCTATATGAAACCGGGTCTAAAGGATCTTTTTCTTTTTTATAGATCAAAGAGATGCTTGCCTGATATAGAGTCGGCGGTAGGGCTTTTTTGTCCAGCGCCTCATTATATACTTCTAGTAACAGGGGTGAGATATGGTCTTTAAAGGCCTTGTAAAATTCCGAAGTATAACCGTCTGGACCCGGAGCTTTGGAGTTCTGTAAATTATCTATTGCTTGCTGTAGCTCTTGTATAGTTATGGATTTTTCGAGTTGTTCTACTTTGTCTGGGTTGATCACAGGTACACTAAACTTGTTAAAGAACATCTCAAATAGTGCGGGGTTCGTTTTTGATTCTGAGGCGTGTGATCAATCTTGTTGCTGCTTGTCTCTTGATTTGTTGTGCTAGAACTTTACCCATCCTTTCCCCCTGTTCATAATATTTATATTTTGCCCTGGTTAGAAGCTTGACTGTTCTTGCGGTATACATCAATTCTAAATCAGCTTGCAGGGACAGTTTCTTCTTGTGCAAGACTGTTGAGGGCCGCGCTGTGTGTTGTCTATCTACTTCCTGTATCTTGTCTTTTATACGTCTCTCTTCTTCTTTGTTGTTATTCATTAGACTCTTCCGCGAAATTAACTGCCCCCGAATGTACGCTTTTAGTGCTTCCCACAAGGTAGACTTGGTAATATCCGGAGTGTTGTTAATTGACAGGTAGAAATCAATTTGGTTCTTAATGTCTTCTATCCCCTGTTTATTTGATAATAAACTGTTATCAAATCTCCATATCTTTGTTGTGTGATTGAACCCGAGGGCTAGTTGCAAAAGGAGGGGGCTGTGATCCGACAACATTATTGTGCCATATTCACAGCGCTTTACTGATGGCAGAAATTTAGAATCGATTAAAAAAAAGTCTATCCTGGTATATGTCTGGTGGACCGGAGAATAGAATGGATATTGTCGCACATTAGGATTCTGAACTCTCCACGGATCAATTATTCCATAATTTCCCATAAATTCCTGGATGGCCTTTGCCGATTTAGATATTTTGGCAGGTTTACTCGATGATCTATCAAGGTTAGTATTTAACACCAAGTTAAAATCACCTCCTATGATTAATTGATGAGTATCGATATCCGGAAGCTTTGATA